TCCTCTCTGGTCGTCTCTATGCCTCCTTTTGCCTGCTTCGGGACGCCTCCGATATATTCGCCACCTGTTCTTTTGTCTGTGGCCCTCGTTTGGTTCGTTCGTTCGCCTTGATGTTCCCGTCGTTCCCTCGCCCCAGCATTCCCTGTTACATTAGGACAGAATTGATTTCAATTGTTCCTCTTGGGCACATACATGGTATAAACTCCAGGTACACAAATGCTTCTGATAAGAACAACTCACATGCATCAGTGAATGTAATCACATTCAGTGTATTGCATCACCATGAACTCAACATTTATCCGTAATCAATATGCAAATAATATTATTTTTCTACACTTCAGGCAGATTTACTGCCTCAGCTATGGGCACATGGTTTTGAACTGTTTACGAGTTACCAGGAATTCAGTAACAAATTATAAATTCAAAATAATTTCATGAATAAATCACTTGTCATAATCAACACTAAGTAATTAAAAAAACAGTAATCCAGTGAAATCAAAGTTGTTCTTCTAGAGAATCTTCACAACACTTGTACCCCTTTCTTCTGCTCATAATTCGTGAAGAAAGTGAATAGTCTACAAATAAATATATTTTGACATCTACATGGCACCGTGAAGCTCGGGCACACTCGTCAATAGACTTCTATTGACAAAACGTTACATGAGCCGAGCGCAGTAATCAATGAGGATGAAACTCTGCTATTTGACGAAGGTCGAGTAATGCTCCCGATTGTCCCCGGGTAGCAGGTATTGAACTAAATGGGTAGAAAATGGAGCCCCACATTTCAGTTTCTACATAATACATTTCACAGGTAAGTGTCATCAGAAAAATAGGCGGCTATTGTTTATTATTATTCCAACCCTATGATAAACGTGATGCAGATCAGACACGTGACATAGTACATCAACGTTGACTGTAAAAATCTCGCGAACATAATATCGATCGTTTGTGACTAGAAACATTTGCCTCGAAAGTTCTTCAATAAAACAGAAGGTTAAATAAGACTACACGAATAAATAAGTACTACTTCTACGCTCCTCCAAAATGCGTGTTCATTTAGGAAATCCGCTTCTGCGAATACACGTAACACAACGCACTTTCATAGCGGTCTGATATAATTATCACATGCTCCCGACCGTGTTCGACAATTCTAACCGGGTAAGTAGCTCTTATAATTAAACTGTTGAGTACGCTTTGTCTTAATCGCGAAGCCCTCAATTTCACAGGTTCGTCAGCCATTGATAATGATGAGGAAATTCAATAGTTGTTGAATGCATTTGAAATCCTCAGGAGCTTTGCATGAACAGAAGCGGTAAACAGCACTGCTGTTACTCCAATCACTTCCACGCCTGATCTGCTGAGATCTTATGTGGTTCGTCATTTCAGTCACATAATCAGGGATGCCAGTTTCCTTCAAGTTATGAATCATGAAAATACAAAATCTTACACGTATTCGTTCGCTTGCTCGCTCTGCTCACTCAAAAAAAACAAGCGTGAACACATCACCCTAACCAGCGTTCGTCAAATAAATTGCACTACTTTTTTTCACCGATAGCTCGGGTCTGTACTTTCGTCCACCAGCTAGTCACCAAACCTGGAATCCAAACTTTTTCATTTCTCCAGTCGTGAATTTCAGCTGATGTTTTAATCACCGTTGTGATGTTTATCAATAACCCAACAGTAAGGAATCATTGATGTTTGATTTCGTATTTTCGAACATCAGGTGAAAATTAAAATATCATCCATGTACCGTCTGAATGTTTTATCCCTTTTGTTAACGTTCTTGACTCTATTCACCCGAACCTCAGTGCATCTCACGAAGAAGAACGCGACAACAGATTGTTCTTTCTAGATATTCTATTAGCCAGGCGTCAAGATGGGACTCTACAGCGCAGAATCCACCGAAAAGCAACGTGGGGTGAACGTTATTTACAATTGTCCAGCTTCACCTCAGTGGCTTACAAACGTGGCTTGGCCAGAACCCTCTTCAACAGAACCCAGAAAATCTGTACAGAAGATCAAATACAGAACGAACAGGAGTTCATGAAAAGAACGCTGCTGGCTAACGGTTATCCGGAGAACTTTATCAGACAACATCAGAGGCCGAGACTTGTGCGCGCGAAAACAATGAACGTGGAAAAGAAGCAAGTTTTCATCACTTTGTCTTTGAAAGGAGATCATTTGTTCAATCAAATAAATTGTAATCTGAAGTCAGCTCTAAGGCACACATACACTGCGGCGCAGTTGCGTTTGCTGCAGACGACCAAAAGGTAATGTTTTCAAAATCACTCAAACAGTCTTGCTGATCCCAATGTCTCACATATTGTCTATCAGTTCACTTGCAGTTACGGTGACGCACACAATGGCAGGACGGATCGCTGCTTGACTCAACGAGTGTCAGAACACATACCCAAATGGCTGTCAAACTTGATGACGCAACCTGCTGGGGCAATACACAACGACATGAAACCGCCAGTTTCTTCGATTGGAAGACACTTGATTGCATCAGGTCACAAAGTTGACCTGACCCAGTGTTTCAAAGTATTGTTGAGCAATCCAACACCGAAACTATTAGCATTCAGTGAAGCTATTCTAATCATGATGCATCAGCCAGCACTCTGCAAAAAAACGATTGACCCAAAATGTTTGTTTACCCTGGCGTTAACACGACAGACTTCACTGTCCCCAACGTACGTACTGTAGAAGCTTTCGATCGTGCCTACTTAACTTAACTGTTGCACTTACCCCCCTACTGTACCATGTATATATACTGACACGTTTTACGTCCACGATTGACAAGAGTAAACGAAATACTTGCATCTCACGACTTACGTCTTCTCTCTGTTCTCATGAATTGGATAAAGGGGACCCAATGTTTTAAATTTCTTCAAGTTATGTTTTTATTTTCCTCGTTTTTCCAAGCCCTAAATTAGCTATTCTTCTGATCGTGTTGCACATTTGGACCGTACGACATTTCTCAGCCGGGGCAGCTTGTCACTTCCCGACTCCCAAAATCGCTTTCTGCAAGCCAGGATTAGATGCCCGTCAACCGTACACAAGGATGAAGAATGATTCGTCCGCTTGAAAACCGATCATTTATTCGCATCTGCCACTGTTAGCCGAGCATTCTGGTCCATTGACCAAGCAATCCCTCGCATTTCCCCCTCCCAATTTCCCTCCCACAGGTAAATCCTCTGATCTTCTTGTTGAATCACTCCAGCAAGCAGAGGTGTTTGCTTTAATATTTAGCTTCCTTTCCTACTTCCCCCACCCCGTTTCCCCGTTTTCTATCTGATTAGCACTAGCAAGTTCGGCCAAGAGCTGTTTTCTATGGATGTATTCCAACCACCCAGTTCCGGACACTACAGAAATGTGTACCCTGAATTGGCCTTTTCTCCTACATCGTCTTATCTGTCTCACCCTCTAACATTCTACTTTTCCGATCCCCTAAAACAAGCTTTCGTCTTCATATTCCCAAAAGTATTCGGAACTATTATTTTCGAAAAATTGAGTTCTTCCCTAAATCGCAGATAACTAGTGAGTATTTGCCACTTTACATTCCGACCACACCGTTCCACTGGTGATGTCCTTGTTGTCGTCTCACACATCTGGTCGACTACAATTGACAGCGACGGAGAAACCCACATGGCCTCCCTTGACATCCCTTTAACCTCCGACTGATTTCGACGCGAAGGCCTTCTGGCGAAACTGGCCACGTTCAAATCCTCCTCCACTCGCGTGTCGTGAACATCAAGTTTCCTCATTAGGTGAACCAACTCCATCCGTGTTGATGGGGTTCTGTCTCAGCCGTTCTCTGTGAATGCTAGCGTTCTCCAAGGTTCGGTACTTGAGCCCATTTTATCGATGACACCACCTCTCACTTTTCTCCATGATAACAGAAACATTAATCGTAACCGCAGTCCAATTTCATCCTGGGGCTCCAAAGTTGCATTCATTGCTTCCGAATCTCTTTTCCCGAAATTTGTTTGCAGCATCATTCATTCTCATCTCATTCATACTTTGATTCAACTGTACTGCATTCCATGGATTCTATCCCTCTTCTTCGCTTGTCTAACATATTTCCGTTCTCTTGGACCGCCTTAATATTCCAGTTTGTTTCTCATGCTTCGCGCGGAGCTGATTTATGTTTCGTGACAGAAACTTCCTCACACCAACTTATCTTCTGTTGCACGAAGCTCAAATCTATCCTGCACCTGAATATCGCAGTCACGTGTGGGGTGGTGCTTTGTCTCCCACCCCACTTGCTTATCTTGATCGGGTTAAACGAAAAGCCATCCGGCTGATCAACGACCCTTCTTTAACTTAGAGTTTGCAGTCTATAACCGATTCTCGGGTGGCTCTACGTTTTTCCTTTTATACTGGTATTGCTTTGGAGTTGTCAGTCTGAGCTCGCTTTGGCAGTTCTTCTCCCCAGAACATTTTCCCGATCATCAAGTAGCAGGGTAATTAGTCATTCTTAAAAAATGTCTGACAGGAGGTGTTATAATTCAAACTTTCAAACTTCTATTTTCCCCGGATCGTCAACTTAAGGTGCACCACTTTTTTCTGTTATCCTACCTTCACACAGCCTTTGCTGTTAATCACGTTTCAGTCCCACAAATTTCAACGATTTCCGCAACCTCTCTCTCACCCAAGAAATGCCCCGCATTCGTTGAGGGGTCGGTGTTACATACAAAACTGCCAGCTACATCTCCAAAATGGATGTCGACAACCAACAGGTTAAAATAACAAGGGTTTTCAAAGCTACCCGCCAATTGTATTAGTTCCGTTAAGATGGGTAAATGTGAATACTAAGGTTGAGATTTGTAACTCATTTGGTTCTATATTGAAGAATGTATTCAGCTTTGGATAAACCGAAGAAAATCATTGAAAGAATAAGGAAAGTGATGGAAGAATCGTACAGAGTGAAATCAACTCGCTCCATGTGGAACCCTTGTTTTCTGTTATCGTGCTATCCGAGACTGTCGTCTGCAAAAGCGTTACTAAAATGCAGAAAAATAATAGTGTAATCCAGTGAAATAAACATGCCATATTCGTTAGAGATGAGAAAACCAGGAGTTCAACGAATATTTTGCAATAAAACATCTGTTGAGACCGAACATCAACTTCCCATGTTGGCCGATGAACTATGTAAAAGAGATGAGTCCAAGTATGTTTAACAAGCTGACTCACCCTCTTCGGGGTTGTTAGGTATTGGGGTGGTTTGATTATCTTCATCGGAGCAGGGAATTCTAATTTCTCCATCTAAGTTGAGGAAGAAGTTCAAAGTATTTAGTTGCATTGACTATTGTTGTTGAGCACATTGGACATTTTTCTATCTTCAGAACGATCAGACTGTATCACATAATTTGGGGAATTACGAGTAATTCAACAACCATTATTACCAAAGTTCTAACAAGACGTACCCTGATTTTTTAAAATTTCAGTCGCTCTTTGAATGGTTTTGCTATCTGCTAAAGCAAAGTTGGAGTCAGATGCAGAAAAACTTGAATAACGCGTTATGAATTTGAAATGGGAAATTGGTGATCATACGATATCACATTTGCTCACCTAGGTCACTTGACTGACACTGAATTTGCAGCAGATGCCTTTCATCTATCACTAAACGATTGTGCAGAATAAAGTGTACACATGATGTTGAATAATTCTCGTTATTTTTTTGGATAACGGTAATTTGCAAGCAAGCAAAGACAGAACATGAATTCATTGACTATTTGGTAAATGCTTTTTGAGATCGATTTGTGTCGAAATATCATATATTTTTTCTCCTTGTACGGGGACTGTTAAAATAGCACACTTATTTGATTATGATATTGTAAAATACGAGGGGAAACGCTAGCAGGATTGCTTTCTTATTCGAATTCGTCGGTTAAATTCCCCAAAGTACATCGTATGTATGGCGTTATTCACACTTTCTACTACTTGGCAGGTAATCTCACATCAAAAAATAATAAAACCACGCTCTTCACTAATTTCGCTGAAAATATAACGAATCATCATTGTGCTCGTGATTGTCCTGATACGTAAACTGCCACATTTGTCAGGCATAATATTGCTTTTCACCAGAAACGGTGTCATTATATGCACATGCCATTTTCTGTCGATGTCTCTATTCATGAAAGTCATGAGAGCTAACAAATTTACTTCATTGCACGAACACGTTTTACTCACCGGTGGGTGTAGTATGCTCAAGTTCGCCAGCACATTCCGTGAAAAGGTCCTGTACATTTTTTTCTGTATTTCTTTACTTGGATTCGTTCACCTATATGTTCACATAAACATTGCGTCCTTCGAAACCCAAAAACCAGTATATGAACAGCCGACTATGGGGCATTTTTTTATTTTGCTCGTTCCTAGAACACCGTTCCATCTGCAGTTTATTGATATAATTGGAAGAAAACGGTAAACCAGTGACTGAGGTACAGAAGATTTTTCCTAAGCTCTTTGTGCTTGTTGATTTCAGATTCAGTCCATCGTCACGCATTCAGCAACTTCTTCCTAATTGTGTGCACCGAATAGAGTTTTTCATAAGTACCCGTCGGTTACTACTAACAAAGCACAATAAACTCTTAATAATGTTCGACAAACGAGCAATTCATTTCTAGTGAAATATGTTCTGAATAGCAAACTGCTTCTTGCAAACCATCTTTCCAATAAATGGTCTTTTGAACCTGTTCACAATATGGTTGATACCAAAAACCACTCCGTCGAATGAGAATCACTGTTGATCATTCTCTAAAAGAGCAAACGAAATTTAATGAAACTGTCGCTTGATACTTAAGATATTAATGTTGAACGAATGCACAACATTGAATTCTCAATTAAAAAACTAGCTGTAAAACGTTTTTAGTCAGATTGTAAACAAACGTTTTCTCACCTTCAATATTATTTGTTTCTTAAAAGACATTTTTTTTATCGCTGTGTACTGCAATACTTCCTTCCATACGGAAAGTGTATACGTAAAGGCCTGTCTATAAACTGGTAATCAGTTTGGATATGTCCAATAAACCATGTACTCAAAATAATAGTCATCTGTTACAATTATGAACTATGTCAGAGATATCTGGTCTGATTATAAATTCTTTGTTGGAATGTACATTATGAAGACCTTATGGTTTTATAGTCTTGTCAGATAAGAGAAAGATTTTAAAAGTTTATTATGAAGGTACGTAACCGAAGACACCGGAGCACATAGTGACCAGATACTTACCTACTGCATCGCGGTTTATTGCAGCTCCTGAGGATAAAACAGTAATGAGTAATATACCTGCCTAATTCTATTTTTTAATTTGCATAGCCTATTGCAATGTCAGTGCAATTGCAATCCTACCACCTTATTCTCAAAAATGTTGCGCAGTATACTATTTATGGCTACCACATTCATGACATTTAGTCAAGCATTTGGACGAACAATTTACACCCAGTTTGGTACATCACATTAACTGGGTCACTTGGATCAACGAAAAACATGACCTCATTTTGGGCTTCGTTACTTTTGGTTATGATAACTTCCGAGAATCGCGTGCCAAATAACTTGAATTGCTCTTGAATCAACTGATTGAAATTTGTTGCCGAAGCAGATAAACATTATTCACGAAAATCCGTGCCCATTTCTTTAAGGAAGAAAAACACTTTGATTGTTCCAGTCCTAGTTCACTTGAATTTCCACTTGACATCCAATATAACCGATCATCCAGTGCCAGTCCATTTTCCAAATTGCCTCGGTAATCTGAAATGTGAAACTTCGTTGATATGATGGCTACAAAAACTGAGTTACTCGCATTATCACAATAGAAGAAAAGCATTTCTCACTTACCACTTCACAGATGGACGTGGTTTTCATCAAGGTAATGATTTCGTTTAAAGGAAGGTTTACAGATCCGCAATTTGGTATGAAATAATCCATTTCATATTCTGAGTCGTATTGGAAAAGAAAACAGATTTTACGATATTGTCAGGTACCTGAGAGGATGGGATGGGTGGGTCATTTTGATAATAAAAAGATTGACAGAAAAGTAATGGTAAAATATGGCTACTCGTAGGATAACCTCACCCAGTATATGACCTTTCAGGGTGTCTGTAACAACATAAAAATGGAGATGTCATTTGGTGTTCGACACGGATTAGAAGTAAGAATCAATAATGAAATCATACTCACATATGGCCTCTGCATACTTCGTCATGCGCAAATATTCAAGGTAAACGATAAGCCATACACCAAATGAAGATCTCATAGTCGAATAAAATTCCTGACCCACGAGAGAAAACTGACAGTGTTCAGACGGCACAGACTACCTTGTGTATGCACTTGGTACCCTTCTTATAAGCACCATAATTCAATTTAACAGTACAGACACACCAGCCGACTAATCTGTCAACTGTTGCAACGGCTGTTGTCCATTAACGCCTACCATTTAACAGTAGAGACACACGAACCGACTAGTCTATCCACTGCTGTAACAGATGTTATCGGTTTACGCCTACCAGAATAGCAGAATATCAGACGAATCATGGTGCGCAAACTGACCTGGTTGGAATCACGTTCAACATTCCATCGAAAACGTGTCTGAATAATCATTTGAAATCAGTGCTCCTGCACCCTTTGTTTACAGAATGGAAAGCAGAAAATACCTGACGTCATTAACATGAGTGGAGGAATTCTCCGAAAGTAGTCGAATCGTGTGATGAACTGTCATGAACCTGAATAAAGAAACTACTTCAAGCAAATACGAGAATTACGTGAGTTGAATGTGTTGCTTCTTTCTCCGTTTTGGCAAGTAGCCTTTTATTATAATTTACATACTGAGTAAGAAATTATCAATAAATAAAAAATCGTTACTGACACCATTCACTTATTGTCTGATTGAGTAATCATCATTACTTGAAAAACAAGAACTCACATTTACTAATGTTCAGTAATCTATGAGAGAATTCGAACAGCTTTGAAACATATTCACGTATGATAAATTATGTATACTGTTCATATGTAAACATGTCCACTGAAACTGGACCTGCAATTCATACTTCATAGCAATGTAATCAAAAGTCCCTGGTAACTCCTTGTCACCAAGAATCTACCTAAGCTAAGCATCCGATTTTGACTTTATATATATACAGTATGAAAAGAAATACTGAGCAGAAATTCATGCAGACACATTTATTTTGTATTTCACACCTTCAATATTTCCCTTTAAAAAATTGATATTGCTTGTGAAGGCAAATACAGCTGATGGAATACTATAAATTTCATGAATTTATTATTCGATATTCAGTTTCAGTCAAAGTCATCCCTAACCTTATATTTTATGAGCTCGTCAGGCATTTTAGGTGGGCCGCGTTTCTTTTTTCTTCAAAACTCATTTTTCCGAAACTCCAACAGAGTGTTTCATAGTGCAGTGCTCAAGCCCCTGGAATATTATCGGACCTAATATAATCAAAACCGATACCTACTGTCATCATCCAGGCATTAGTTTGGCTTTGATTACCATACAGCATAGTTTTAGTTATTCTAGTCAATTCAGTGAAACCCCTCGGTATCTGAAAATTATCAGGCTCATTATGATTCAACTTTTGACCATTACTACTGTAACGAGCATACCTTTGCTTTGGAAACACCTACTGGAGGACCATTATAATTTACAGCGTATCATTTATTTGCTCACTTAAGATTAACCATGTTGATGACTATGGTTCACGTTAGGGTTAACCTGCAACTAGCATGTATTTTTCAGATCCGTGGCCCTCATCTCGCAACCACATCGGATTTTACCTGCAAAACTCCGGCGGAATCAATTATCTTCAGTGCAATTAATGGATTCAGATGTAAGAAATCGGGTAAGGATCAAGTAAACGAAATACAAGATCTCACTCACCTCAGAAAAGTGTTTGTTTCTTGAACAGGATTGAACTGGCATGCTCACTGCTAATAAGATACCAAATTTCGTTTGAACGACGCTATATGGGAGTTTGTTGGTTGATAAACAGTGAAGTTTCTTGATACCCGATCTCTTCCAACATCCCCAAGCAAAACATATTGGACAAGACTCAATGACGAAGTGGAATACGAGCCACTGCAGTAATGATCACAATTTTAAGTGATGTAAAACAATGAGGAAGAACTCATGCGCACAAGGCTATCCGCTTCTTCATAGAATGACTTGGATTAAACAGTGGTCGTAAAGAGCATGAATCAGGAATTACTTCTGTGTTTGGTTGTACCTACACGAATAAGACAAGAATTAGCTGTAACATCCCCACACATATATGGCCACGCCCATCTCTATCGGGGTAAGTATTACTTCTCGCTCGGTTTATTCTTCTCGTCTTCACAGGTCGTGTACGTACAAACCCCACGAAAGAAAAGCGCAATCGGCATATTACATTTTTGACAACCCTGGTAACGGGACCGAGTAAAATGTGGGGTCTGTTTGGTTGAGTGATTATGAGGCATTTTGTGGACACCAGTGATCGACATTCATCGCCATCTCACTACAGTAGTATAAATGGTCTTTCCAAAAGTCAGTCAATCACGATGTTCTGCGGAAAACTTGTATCATCATGCAACCTTGGAATTCAGGGTAGCAAGTATATACCGAAATCAGAGCACGGAATTTCGGGGTTGATGACCGCAAGACGAAATGAACGAGTTAGATTATTTATTTCCTCATCAAACAAATGCCTATTGCAGGCGAAATCTTGCGGTTAAACAACGGTGACAGTTCTCACTGAATACTGTGCTTTTCTATTAGAAGACAAATTATGTGAAGCACAATAGGAAGGAAAAAACTCAGTGGTATATTGGACTTAGTGGACAATAAGTTTGAGTGAAGCATTCCCCTGAATTTCACTCATTGAAGTATTTCAGGCGAGAACGGTTTAAGCAAAACAAACGAAGAATTTCACGCTACTGATATGTAGTAGGCAGAGGCTGTTCATGTGGTAAAATTGCAACCGAATATATGAGGGCTCTCATGAAAGCACTGAAGAGATATCTCAGACGGCCAGATGAATTCAGACGACTTGTAAATTGATCCCCAAATGGCTCTCAATTTCCGATCCCATATGATAAAACCAATATATTTGTTTGAAATCAACGTTTGCTTGTTTTACATTGTAGGTATTTACCAAAGTACCTTCCTCCGGGTTGAGACAAAAGATGGAATAGGGAGAAAGCGTTTTCGGGACCACGGTGGTAAAACATGCATCATCCTGCAATTTCGACCTCGAAGTTTCGGGCTAAATTCCGGTCACCACCAGTCCCTTACTATGTCCGTAGCTGTTGACTAAAAGCCTTCTCTTTCCACGAATATTGCACATTTCGTATAGATAGAGGGATTCATTTTTGACATAACTCTATCGAGCTAGACAGATGCATTCGTAGATTCATAAACAACTTGAATGTCTTTTGGAAACTAAATTACTCAGGGTTTAGATTTGGAAAGTTCACACTAGCGTCCCCGTACATAGTTGGTTCGGGTCTATTATCAGCCTGAATTTGATCCCCAACTTTTCTGTTTATTCTACAGTGCAATAAAGGAAGTTAGTCCATCAGATGTTCCTCGGTAATTCCGAGTAGATTCCTGCTGACTAAATTCAATAAAGAATACTCTTCCGTGTATTAGTTACAAGCGTTGTTGTGCCGACTATAATCATCTCCAATCACAAATCTCCGCGTAATGGTTGATCTTCAGTTTGTTTTCATGTCAGATAAATGTCATTCCTCTCTATATTAAGTTTACACATGCTACGGCTATCGTTATTGAAAGCATTCGGTTTTTCTTTTGTCCTTAGCTGTGGAGACATCATCCTTAACGGAAATTGTATACCACGTGATAATTAATCAAAATAAAGTATCTAGTCGGATTTCCGTCGTTCGTGTACAACCGGACGAAATAGAATCTGCTGGTAGAATCCAATATTCCATAGATGAGAATCCGTCGAGAAGCGCGTATTGAGGATTGATCCAGACAACGGAGGTTGAAATGTTCCACAATGCCTTCTCCTAGACAGGTGCATTCGTAGATTCATGAACAACTTGAATGTCTTGTATTACCAGCGAAACTGTTTTGAGAGCCTAAAGTGCTATTTGAAAAGGAGATTTGCCGTACCCATCCTGCGTATTCGGTATGAAGTGACCTGAATCTAAAGAGATATTACCGTTGCAAATTAATAAAACATGCTAAATGTGCTAAAACGTTTAGACAAGCGTGCCGGAACGGTCATTTACAGTAGGCAAGATGATATTAAGTAGATGACTACACTGAATTAAAAAGCAAAAGGATTTTACCAAGAAAAAGGATAAAAAATAAATATTCACATAGCTAACATAAGGAATGACCAGCCCATTTTCTAGAGATGTTGTTGGGCCGACTATAATCATCTCCAATCATAAATCTCCGCGTAATGGTTGATCTTCAGTTTGTTTTCATGTCAGATAAATGTTATTCCTCTCTACATTACGTTTACACATGCTATTCGGTAGATGAGAATGCGGTTGAGAAGAGCGTAGTGATGATTGATCCAGACAACGGAGAGTTGAAATTTTCCACTATGCTTTCTCCGATGTCGATCGCTGTCACTGGTCGAGGTACCGCCAAAACGGGATCCAATCAGTACGTGACTGCATTTGCAGTGGTTCGCGTCCATATGGTCTGTTTTGTTGGGACACAATACGAAATTTGACGAATATCAAATTTATCAATTCGACAAATGTGAGCGGTTCGATTGTGTTTTGGTCAATGTTGTTTAGACTTCATACATTTTACAATGGTGACATTCTTTGGAAACTCATGGAGATAAACGTACCAGTCACATCCAAAATAAATCATAATAAATTCCATTTTAATTCACTGAAAAATTAGGCTAACAAGCATTCTGATAGAACGTTGTCTGCAGTTAGTTACTTCGATTCAGTAAATATAGTGGCAATTTATTTTCCGAAGATATGAGCTCTACGATTGTTCCGAAACAGAGTTCTTGAAATTGTACTGGGTCCCTTCTCAAATAGTCTTAGACCTGATGGACGTACACACCTAGTCGTAATGTGACTACAGCACTGTAAACTGAACAAATACGCACAAGAACTCGATATTCATATAATACATGAATCTCTCCGAAAAAGGCAACCATGTGTTGAATTCAGCTACGCCCATGTTCAATCAAACCCGGTTAAATCTTTGCAGAT